AAAGGGGTTGGGGGGGGGGACTTTTTCAAGGAGAATTGATGCTGATATACATCTTGTGGGAGGATGTCCTCTAAAATGCATAGGAGAAGTTCTCCTGAAATAACATACTCAAGACCCAGTGGGGAAATTACCAGACCCTTTCCACCTGACTGGTGCCATAATTATAGGCTGGTCCTGTGTTTTTGAGGCCCATTTTGATCTTCATCAAACTTGTGCTTCCTCCAGTTCCTCCAGCTAGAATCTCTTCTCTGCTTCCCTTTTTAACTCTGCCTAATAAATCTAATGTACTGTCCACTAATGTCCTAAATTGAAATTTGTTTTCTGTGCAAATCGACCACCCTGGGTGGGGATGGGATGGCTAGTTAAGTTCCACATTCTTTTGGGGAACTTGTTCAAATTTGTCCTGGTGATGTGCCAATTTTGTGATTTCCATCCAAAGTGAGCAAAAGAACTCTTGTGACAAAACCACTTAAGTTATTAAAATCATTTCAATTCAAACAGCTGAAAAGTGGTCTAATGCAGACAATACAGTGTTAAAAAGATGAAATATTTTTTTAAAATATTTAAGAAATAAGTTCAGACAGAATAATGATAGAGCATGTGCTAGATGTCAGATACACTGAGTTTGTGCTCACTGAATCAAAAAATGAATTGTAAGGAACAGTGGAGGTTAAGAGTAGGAAAATATATAATGAATGGGGTATAGGATAACTCCTGAGAGGAGGGGTCCCCAGTGGGTTGCCAATAAGTCTACTTCTTGAAGTTTTATAGAGCAAAGTCATGAGGTGGGAATGATGTGGGTCAAAATTCTGATCAATAAGATTGCAAGCATTATGGTAGCCACTGTTGATCTGTTGTCTTGCATTGAAATCTGTGTCCCTTACATTGTTTTCTCCTGATCTGCTTTATTCTGTTTACTCTTAAAAAGATTGCAAGTACACTCAGCTTAGGTAATATTGATCTAATAGCACTTCGGTGGATAATCTATAATCATCCTTGTTTTGAATTTTAGCAGTCTAATTTTATAGTCTTTAATAGGTGGGAAAAGATGGCCCATCCCTAATGAGATAATGGGAAGACACAAAAGGGAAGTACCAATGTTCCATGCCTTAGGAAGGGGAGCTATGTAAAATTAGCTTTTGTGACTTTAGTCTTCAGACTAGCCTCCAGCCACAGTCCTGATGGATTCTCATCATTTGCACTGACTCCCTCAAGGGCCCAGCCCTGCCTGAAGGCCTACTGTTTCTACCTAATTAAGGTAGCTATATTACTAGCAAACTGAATAAAGATAACTTTTGTATAAAAGGTGAGAAGTATGTGAAGTGAGCTAAGTGAAAATGATAATGTGTAAATGAACGTTGATTATATAAACCTATAATTGAGTTTAAGACGTTAAGTTCCATAAGGGTAAATCACGGAATGGAGTTTTAGTGTTGTAGACAGCTAAGTTATGTAGAAAAACAAGCAGAGCAGAGCCCTCAGAAAAATTTAGTGTAGAAGGCAGCTTTGGCTAGATGCACATTCACTGAAGGTTGGGCCTCAGGTAGAGCTAGGACTACAGCCACTACAGATAAACAATTGGGATTAGTGTGCTAAATAGTCAACAGTCACCTTGTGGGGGAAACCAAAACCTCCCTGGCTCCTCCCAGGAAAGTCCTGGTTTGGTTCTTGTTAGCTTGCTGCATGACTTGGTTCTCCAGTTGATCCCTACTTAATCAGTATTACCAAAATGATAATACAGCTAACCTAATTTGGTTGACTGTATGGATCAATGTTACCTAAGTGACAATAATTGTAATCTTAGTTGGTGTGGTAACTCGGACCTCGGAATAAAATCCAAGGAAGCAAGAAATTAAAATTTAGGGAGCAAAGGCTTTATTTTAGGCTAGGCCTGGCGACGCAACCTCCGGGAGCCAATATGGAGGCTGTGCGCCTGACAGCTAAAGGGCAGAGCTTTTATCTTGTAAAACTACAAACAGCTGCTGGTCTCAATGCCAGGAGTGGGGCTGGGTTTGTGGCCCACTACTGAACAGGAACACAAGAAATTACATTTCTTGGGAAGAGCAAAGTTCAGGTAACAGCTGGGCTAACAAGTTTCCCTGCAAACAAGCAAGTTTAGATTAGGAAGACATTCTGTTTCCCTCAGCAGAGAATAGAGAAGTCTAGCAGCATTTAACAACCCCTGTTAGCTTATTTTAGCACCACATCTGTTATTTGTAGAGGGCAATAATGGTTAACATCAATTAGGTAAGATTTTACAGTTCTTTAAAGAGGAGAGCATTAACATATCAATTAGGTCACCCAGAGGGAAAAGGAAAACACAGTAAGGCCACATTACAGGTATTTTGGTATGGTACAAATACAACGAAGCTGTTTTTCCTAGAGTACAACAGTAAGTTTTGTTGTACCTCATACCTGCCTCGCCTCATGATTTTGCTATATAAAACTCCCTTGAAGAGTCCCCAGGGCTACTCCCTCAAGACTCTCTTAGAAACTTTCAGTACTTTCTGCTTTTATCCTTCATTGTTCTAGAATTCATTAAATTTTAGAGAATATAGACTTGGCATAACAGCTACCCACCAGGTTAGGAATTCTGTTCCCCACATATTGTTACTATTATTCGGAGATCCTATTTCATTAATGTATCGGGACAAGTGACGCTTTAATACAGATCCTCCTTCATGTGATGGTCATGTCTGTGTGTGGAGCGAAACGAGTCTGCCCTAGAGTTTAATGATACTAGAGGACAATAAAGCACTGAGGGGACAAATCAGAGGCATGTCAAAGCATCTGAGGCGAGCTTGACTACCATGGGTGTAATTCGAATTAAAAGTTTGACTGTTTTGTCATTGCAAGATCTATACTTGGCCATAAATTGGGGTGGGAGGAGCAGCAAGGTACCCCACGAAGATGCTAACTAGTGTATCAGTCAGGTGCAGTGGGGCATGCTTGTAAGGGCAGCCCTCTGGGAGACTGAGGGAGGAGAGTCACAAGTGAAAGTCTACCCTCGCCAATCGAGGTACTCAGCCAGACCCAGTTTCTAAAAATAAAATAGTGTGCTGGGTATGTAAGTGTGAAGGCCCTGGGATGAATCTCCAGTGACACACACATTTTGGTTAGATATACACGAATTTTTTTTAAAACTTTAAAGGAATACTCACCAAAATGCAAATATTCTGAGGGGCACTGGAGGGAGCACCTTTAAATGTCATAGTTTTCAAATAACATTTCCTTGCGAGAGTGAGGTCTTCCTGGCCTTAAGTTTCTTGGTTGGCTATTATTGTATGGTTTTCCTCAATAATTTTGACCTATTGTTTGCATGATCTCAACATAGGTAATAACATAGCTAAGTTTCATAAGTCATGATTTTGGCTGCTAGTCTGTTGCAGCCCACCATTGATCTTTAGAAATGGCAAGGCCAGGGAGGGATTCCAGAGACTCTGCTTGGTAGATGCCACGTGTCGCCAAAATGCTTATCTCCTCCTTCCCTTTTGTCTTTCTGTAGTCTTGGGGTTGAATGAGTGCCTTGCTTGTGCTAGGCAGTTCTCTAGCATGAGCTATGTCCGCCATCACATTTATCTTGTTTTATAAAAATGACAAGAGTTCTTTGTACATTCCAGGTATTAGGTCCCTATCAGATAAATGACTTGAAAACATTTTCAGTCATTTTGTGGGTTGTCTTGTCACTTCTTCCACATATATTTTTCTTGTTATCAGCTCTAATGTGTTTGTGTTCTTTAGCTATTCTATACACATGGTGTCTGAAAATATAGAGACTGATAGGTTCCGCCAGCCTGGGCCTCAGCTGTCTGTAACATAACATGACATCTGCCCAGCTGGGCACCGGACCCAGAGGAAATTTATCTCTCCCAGAGTAATTTCTGTGTTCTCCTCATTCCAGAGATAAATCTCCCGCTCCCTTTTGCTGCGTGTGCTGGGCCCTCTCAATCCCAAGACTCCACAACCATCCAGGCCTCCAACCCCAGCCCCAGTAAATCTTTCTGCCTCCTGTTTTACGCGGCAGATGCTCCTTCAGATCAGCAGTTGATATGTCATTCCTCCAAACTCCTTCCCCAGCCAGAACTGAAAAAGCAGTGCCACTTGTTGAGAGCTGCTGGACCCCTATGAAGCTCTCCCATCTGCTCAGTAAAGGCCTCTCCCTACTTGTCTCCTTTCTCCTGCACCACTTTGGATTGAGTGCCAAAAATACTCAATCAGAGACAGCTTTACTTCTGGTCTGGATACTCGTTTCCTTTTTTCTTGGCAGTACTGCCTGTAAGTACAGTGTCAATAGCAGTGATTAGAGCAAGTATCCTTGTCTTGTTCCTGCTTTAAGTAAAAGCTTTGACCTTTCACTACTAAGTGTTAGACGTGGGTTTTTCATAGTTGGCCTTTTACTAGGTTAATGCTGTTTCCTATCTTTAGTTTGTTGAGTTTTTGTTTTTGTTTTTGAATTTTTCAGTTATGAAAGGGTATTGGGTCTCCCCCTCCTTGATGCTAGGCATGGAGCCCTGGGGCTTGAGCATACTAGGCAAGTGCTTTACCTCAGTTATTCCACCAGCCTGGGTACTAGGTATTTTTTCAAGTGCAAAGAAACTTTGCACTTTTCAGATGCAAAGAAACTTTGCATCTGTTGAGATAATTTTGCAGTTTTGTCCTTTGTTATATTAATTTGATGTAGAGGACACCTGAATGGCTCTCTTTGAATAAACAGCAATTATCTCCATCTGTGACTTACCAAGGCCTAAGAAAGTTTGCACATTGAAACTGAAGCACCAGCCCCCTAAAAGTAAAATGTCATCTCAATTGTGTTATGCAGATTGACCCTTCTGCATACCCTTCTCTTTACTTATTGCAAAGGTGCTTATGCTTTCGGTCTGTCCCGGCTTGGCCAGACCCTGGCTGGTCTCCTCCCGCCCACCAGCACACCGTCTGGCAGAGTGCTGCCAGCACCCACAGCACCCACTGAACCCTGGGTGGCTCCTCTGGTCAGAGACATGTCTGGTTCTGAACATTTATTGAACAAAACATAGAAAATATGGTTACTGGAGTACTCCACACACATGGGATGGCTCCTCTGGAAAGAATATCCTCATCCAAGGGGCTCAATTGCCTTGAAAACCACAGGGAAGGCACATGGCTGGTGATGTCCATCAGAAGACGCAGGCTCTTGCTGCAAGGACTCCTCCTCGGCACAGGGGAGGGTGGAAAGCAAGGGGCTTCAGGGTGGACACCCTCACCCATACTGCAGGGCAGGCCAGCTGCTCTCCACCTGCTAGTCTCCACAGGCACTGACTCACACCTGAGGGATGGGGAAGGAGGCACAGGCAGCCAGGCCACACATGTTCTTCCCGCGCTCAATGAGGAAGTACCTGAGGGGAGAGGAGTCTGTGTTGGTGACCTCAGCGTAGGACTTTCTGGAATGTTCTGCTGCCCACCAAGACTTGACTGCAGGGATTAAGGCCTCCACATTTATTCATGGAGCAGTAACATTGGGCTTATCACCAGGAGAGTCTTACATACCCAGTGGATAATTTATTCTTCCTTCTTGGCTGCCAAACCATCTCATTTTCCTATTCTGTCCACTTATATTCTCTCTACGTTTGTGTGAGGCCCCCAGCCAACTCCTGGCTAAGCTCCTAACCTGGCCACTTAATTATGGGTAGGACTCCCTAGTGATACTGATCCTTTCCTTTTCTGGTGAGGACACAGAGTCTGAGTACATGCACACACTCCACCTCTGGGGGAGCTTCGAGTGGTCAGGGACACACACTGCCCCATTTCTCAGTGTCACAACCTCCTTGACTGGCTTAGTTCCAGCAGGGTTCTCAGTTCTGAGCTGTTTCCCAGTAGTGAATGCCCATCCTGAGTCAGCTGGCCGCCTGGCCCCTAGAAGGACCTAGGCTGCCCCAAGGATGTAGGATACATGGTCAGGCTCCCCTCTGATAGCTCCTCCTGAGAGCCTTGCTCAGATGAAGGAACAGCCCCAAACTCAGCACACAATCTGAACTCTGAGCTGCTTACCCATCCTGTCCCCACGCTGTGCCCCAGGAGTTTTTCACGATCCAGTAGGGTACCCCATTTTGCACTCCATACCCGACAGCCAGTACTGCATGGTTCACTTTATCTGGAGTTTTATGACAGGAAGTACTAGAAATAAAAAGATGTGGATAATGTGGGATGTAGAAAACATCCATCCCGGAGGGTTTGGAGCTGGGTGCCTTCATGGGATGCAGCAGCTTGGGGGTGAAGGGCTGCCACTTTCATTCTTAGTACTTTTGGCCCCCTGCTGGTGTGTGGCATCTGTGGTGTTGGACATCTCCAGCCTCCCCACACAGGGGCAACTCCTGCTGCACACCTGCAGGCTGCAGCATTGTACTGCAGTGTTGCCTCTGTGTTCACTGTAAAGACCACCTTGTGTATGTGGCAAATATGTTGGCTGTCCATGGGAAGTAATGAGCAGCTCCCCAAGGGAACCCCAGGGAGCCAGAAGGACACACTGCAGGGTCATGCATGGATGACCCAGGCTCAGCACAGGCAAGGTGCCAGGTGGCAGTCAGCAGCTGCCTCTATCCTGTCTTTTGGAAGGTTCTTTTGGCAGCATACTGATGGACAAAGCACCACCTCTGTGAAGCAGGTTGGGAGTTGGGCATTGGGAGGTCCTGGGAGCTCCAACCCAGTGGGGTTGGGGGCAGGGCACACCACGAGACGACAGACCCTTCCATGTGGCTGGGGTGCAAGCTGCAAGGTGGTGCTGGAGGGGACAGAGAGAGTTTACCAGGGTCTCCAGTCTGGCTGGCCCCAGAGTTTGAAGGGTAACACAGCAGGGGGCACGCATCCAGAGGTGACTGGCTGCCCACTGTGCTGAGGCCAAGCAGGGAGGAGGCAGCTGCAGAAGAGCTCAGAGGGAGCATACAGCAAAGAGGCCAGGCTGGCTGAGGGAGGTAGCCTGCACACAGCAGCCTGGAGTGGTCTCATTAGCTGGGACAGGGACAAGGCAAGGGGAAGGGGTATGCAGGCCAGGCAACAGGGGGCCCAGCCAGCCTTGGAAGCTCTCAGCAAGCATCTGGGCAGCATTCGAGAACTAGGCAGAGGGCTGTGCCCCAGTCTGGAGAGTACTGCCTTCAGGGTGGTGCTGGCAAGCGAGGAGGGCATGGAGGAGGTGCTGGGGTGGGGTGTTGCTGAGGGCTGCGGGAATGAGAGACCCTCGGTTTTCTATGTCTGTTTGTTTGTTTCGGTGTTTGGAGATAGGGTTTTGCCATGTAAGCTCAAGTTGGCCTTGAACTCACAGTATTCCTCCTGCCTCAGCCTCCTGAGTGCTGAGATCACAGGTGTTCAACCACCAAGTCCAGGCTTGGTTGAGAAACCTGCATTAATGACCCTGAGGAGGCTGGCTCTGGCTCGGGGTTCAGCTGACCCACATGAGGCCTGTACAGAGTCAGAACCCAGGATTGCGGAAAATACACAAACTGAAACAAAAGACACTTAGCAACTTTGGTTTTCCCTGAGAACCCTTGGGGGAATTATTCAGGAGAGGAATCAGGTGTTTGGACACAGCTGCTTTCTCCCGAGAATGAATGGGCAGCACTAGCTGTGTGGCCGAGGCTGGGCAGCCTCCCAAGCTCCTGTTCGGGGTGGAGACTGGGTACCCACCCCCCAGGCTTATGTGAGGAGGTGTGAGGCACATGCAGACTGCCCAGCACTGCAGGTGCTGAGAATGGCCTGACTGGGAGTGGGCAGAGTCCAAGGCCCTGGTGCCAGCTAGCCCTCCCTTCCCACTGCCACCCGGGACCTGCGCACCTGGAGTAGATTCCACTTTGGTATGATATAAAGTCTTCGGTCACCTCGAAGGCAAAGCTCACCGGGTTGTACAGGGCTACTGCCTCCACCATTGCCTCTTCATCATTCTGTGAGATGACACACAGGGCCTCTGTCACCTCCCATCACACTTTCAAAATTGGCACTGTGTCCCACGGCCTAGGTGGAGGCCTAGGGCAGTACAGACGATGGGGTTTAAGCAAGAGCCCAGGGGCACCACAAGGGGCTGGTCCTGCATGGCCTGCTGGGCACTAGGCTCTGCACACAGGGCTCCACCTTCCCTGTGGGTGCCTGGGGCCTGCAGGTGGGGTTTCATGTGACAAACAGCCTTTTCTTGCTCCCTTCCGGATGGGAGGTCATTTGTCACCACAGGAATAGGGCAGCCTTTACTGGGCCAGGGGCTCTGAGGGTAGAAGGAGGGTGTGACACCTCGATCATCACCCCAGACTCCCCACATCCACAATGCCAGTCTGTGGGATTTTGTTGGTAGAACAAATAAAACCACCAACAGATGAGCTTCAGATGGTATAAGACACACGATGAGACCAGGCAGAGGCTGTGTGTCTGCTGGGGAAGGCAGGTGGAATGGAGTCTTGACCACATCCTGGAGGAGCAGCTTTGGGATATAGCCGCAGGCAGAACCACTTTCAAGACCCTCCATGGCCAGCTGCACCCAAACCGACACCACTGGGTATGAACATCCTGGTCGGGAGCCAATGGGTCAGAATGAGTGGCCAAGAGCAGGCAGAGGGGCACGATGAGTGGGGTGTCTGGACCCCTGAAGACACCAGCAGCCCCAGTGAGGGGACCCCTGCAGCTGTTCTGGGTGTCTTGTTTCTTGCAACTGTGCTGGAGAGACTGAGCTTACTATTAGAGGGCACTGCCCACCTGTTGTTGGGCAGCAAGCCCTGGTTCTGGAAGGACAAGATCTCAGTTCCACTCCATCCTCCACACTCTAACTGCACGCCCTCCAGCACATTGCTTAACCTCCCTGAGCCTGTTTCCTGCCTGTGAAAGGGAGGTCAGGAGCACTCTCAGCTCCTAGGATTATTTCCATCTGCAGGAGACTGCTTGTCAAGTGCACTCCATAAACATAACCTGTTACTGCTGCTGAACACGTGTATAGGCTGCAATTAACAGGCAGTGCTGTCTACAGAGATGTGTGTTTGTGACCTGCAGATATGTTCCTGGGCAAACAGCCCTCACCTTCCTCCTCAGCACATGACACAGCTGCACACACCTGTGGAGAACTCACTGGCTTTCTACTTCATGCTCACACCCCAGTCACAAGAGCCACTCAGACATACTGGAGCCTGCTCTCTTGTTGAAAGGGAAGGACAACTGCATTCCCCAGATGCCTGAAGTGAGGTGAGACTGTTGACCACTGGCACCCACCCCACCTGGGCTCTCAAGTGAGGCCAATGATACAACACACTGCCAGTTCCATCCAGGCTCCAGGCGGCAGGAAGCTGAGATGGCTGTGTGGAGAGCCCTCCAGATCTGGGCTGTCCATGCCTGTGGCGGGACCAGGCTCCTCCAGACCAACACACACATCGACACCTCTCATGCAGTCACACGCAGGCTCATGCCCTCTCCCCAGTGTGGGGACTTCGTCTTGTGTTTTACAGGTAAGAACACACATGCAGAGGCCAACTGACCGGGCACGCAGAGCCAGGGTGTCTCCTGCCACAACAGCTTCCTCTCTCCTTCTCCAGGGCCACTGTAGCGAGCAAGTCAGCAGGAGCCCTGGCTCTCAGTCACTGCAACCTGCTGCCTCCTGGGTCCTGGCCCAGAGGCTCCCCATCATGACGGACCGCCCCCCCCCCCCAGCCTAGAGAAGGACTTGCGACTCACAAGCGTGATGTTTACGACATCCTTGACAAATGCGATGGCCTTCTGGGGCTGGAACCTGCAGTGACCATCCTGTGGGGCGGTAGGGAGGAGAGGCCATGGGACACAGGTTAGGAACCCCATGACCCAGGCAGGAATTCAGTCCCCAGCCATAGGTAACATATACTGAGCAGAAACTATATGGAACAACCGCCTTGGCAACAGGCTATTCCGTGCAGAATTGGAGGCACCCTTTCCCTACAGGGCTGGGAGTGTGGAGCAGGGGACGACAGCCTGGCAGGCACAGTGCTTGGTCGAAGCCTGGGGAAAATGCAGGAGCAAGGCTATGTGGTGGGGAGGGCAGGACCCTTGGCCCAGAGAGCAGCACAAAGGTCATGACACTGCAGAGAGGGCAGCCCTGATGTCTAGGGATCTGTGCTAGAGTGGGCCTGAGCACCGAGCCGGGTGAGACGGAAATGGCACAGGGAGAAGGGTGGGACTTTGAGGCTCCAGGACCAGAGCAGGGCAGCCCAGACCTAAGGAATGCCAGCTCAACGTCACAGTCAAGGAAGGCCAAAGGCTGAGGTGGCCAGGAGAACCATGTGTGAAGGTCCATATGGCCAGCAGGGGTCCAGATTGGGCTCCAGAGGCAAACTGGTTCTGAGGGGCTTGGAGCTGCTTTCTCAGGGAAGTCAATGCAGGAGAGGTTGCAGGCTGGGGAAAAGACAGGCTTGGGCAGATCAGTGGAGATATAGAAGGGTGTCTTTTAGTGTCAGCCCCTTCCATGGACTAGAGGGGACCAGGAGGAAACAACAGGTAGGGTGAAGGATCCCCAGGAAGGGACCAGGGAGCAAGGGTGACAAAAGGCCCCTGATGGGAGAGGGACTCAGGCAGGCAGAGAAGCAAAGGAATGGCTTCAAGGAGAAGTGCAAGTAATTCTTGTAGGCCCAGTGCACACCTAACCCAGCTTCTTGGAGGGCTAAGGCAAGCGGAATGAAAACTCAAGGCTAGTGGGACCGTTTTAAAACAAAATAAAGAATTAAGTGTGGTGGTGTACACCTGTAATCTCACCAGAGGCTGAGGCAGGAGGATTGATGTAAGTTCAAGGCCAATTTGGATGACATATCAAGACCCTGACTCAAAAGAAGAAAGGGGGGGGGGGAGAGAGAGAGAGAGAGAGAGAGAGAGAGAGAGAGAGAGAACACTTGCTTATCATGTGTGAGGCTCTGGATTCAATCTCTAGAGGAAAAAAGTAGATGATTCTGAATGCCTGTAGGATGGGGCGCAGGGCAGTGGGATGCAATGCAGGGGAGGAGGCAGTGAGGTTCACAGATTACCTTGCCCTGGTAGGGGTAGGTGTCTTCACCCATGATGCCCTTGTTGTACAAGATATACTCGAAGGCCTGGCTGGGAAGACCCCTGTGGAAAGGGGGAGCACACATGAGACCCTGGGCCAGCCAAGCAGGGAGAAGCAGTCCCAGGCAGAGCATCAAGGCCACTTGCTCTGGCCTGGGCTGCTGGGTCTTTGGGTCTCAGAGAGGCCAGCCATGTTGTCCTATTTGCCGGGTGAGCCATGTGCATTTGTATGGGGCACTTAACCCTGGAGGCCAAGCCTGTTGTGGACACAGGTCCTGCACTGGACAGGTGCTCCATGGACACCAAGGCCTGGCCCTTCATACTGTGCCAGGTGGGACTTGCTGCCCCTTCCTGAGGCTCAAGGGGCTGAACCCCTTGTCCAGGATGACAGGGCTAAAGTCAGGCTTTAGTTCCAGCATTACAAAGTCACCCAGGGTACAAACACCCACTGCTCAGCAATGCCACTATCTCTACCAAGTTCTCTCCACAGCCATCTTACTACCTGATCTATGGCATGCTTGGCATCAGCCCTGGGTTTATAGGAAAAAGGCAATGCTGAGACTCCAAGGTCTGCCTTTTCTAAAGCTGCCCATAGAAATGATACACAAAGTGGGAAGAGAGAGGGGCAAAGCAGTAGGTCTATAGTAACAGATGTCCTGGATCCCTGTATGTGGCCAGTACAGCTCTCTGCAAGGGCCTGCTGTTTGCTGCTAGAGGAGGAAGAGCCAAGGCAGGGCCTGGACCAGAGTGGGCACGGAAGCTGGAGGGAAACTTAGGCTTTATTTGTGTCATGTACCAGGGAGCCGAGCAAACTTCCAGAAATCTTTCAGAGCATACCTAGCACATGTGGAGAAATGGGAGGAGATCCCTAACAGCCTGCTGTCAAAGTTGGCTGGCACCTGTCTACATCTCACTCTGGCAAAGCTCCCTCTCACGGCCAGTGATCTGGGACAGCTGTCACCATAGTGACTACTTCCAAAGGCCAAGGGAGAGCCTGCTTCTCTTGCCTGTGGAGCCAACATGCTCTGATGTGTTTCTTCTGCTGTCAGTGCTATTGGCCACTCTCACAGGGATCCTGCTGGCTGGTAAGGTGCTGGGCAGGGCATGGACTTCAGGAGCAGACAGGCCTAGCTGAGACCCTGCACGGGAGGAAGACTGCCAGGCTCTCCCCAGGCCAGGGTGGGTTGTGAATGTGACAGGGATGGAGGAGTGGGAAAAAGAGATTCCAGCCCTTCGGGGAATGGGGAGGATATACCCTTCGCAGCCATGATTGTTGAAGTCCTGGGCACAGTCCACCAGCTGCTGCTCCGCCTACAGGAAAAAGCACAGAGCCAGCTTTCCTTTCTGAGCCCCTGCTTGGTAAAGGTTCCAGCTGCCCAACTGAGGAACCTGAAAACTACAAGATCCACCAGAAAGGAGAGCTCCAAAAGCCTTGTTCTTGGGTATGGGGTACAACTCAGTGAGAGGGCCTGCATGGCATATGTGAGGCCATGGGCCAGCAGATGCAACAGCATGGCTCACCAGCCCTGAGGGAGACTGCTTACCAGAGATAGCATCTTCCCACTCGCGATGGCCACAGCTGACTCCAGGGCCCCTGTGGTGGAGAAGGTCCAGCAGCTGCCGCAGGCTCCCTAAAAGCCACAGGGAGAGGAAGTCAGCCATTGGCCACCCTGAGGGGTGCTGTTTCTGGCCCCTCCACTTAACTTAGGGCCTTGCAGTTCATAAGGTCCAGCTCTGTCCACTCTGAGTGGATGTCCCTGTCTGTGTTACCAATATCGCAACCCAAGCCTGACGGGAGCACTTCTGATAGAGGGCACCAAGGACTCCCAACAGCGCCTCCTGTTGGCCAGTCCCACAATCCCACAATCCCATGAAGGCTGGGCTCTCCTGACCCCACTCTATGGTCTGTCTCCTTCCTGGATTTTCTACTCTTGTGCCTTTTGCTGACTTCTCTTCAGTTTTCCAACAGAAGGTGTCACCCAAGGTGTTTCTAGAAACATCTCTGACCTTTCCATCTCCATTCTCATTTATTCAGACTCTGAGCCTAGGCCCAGACATTAAACTGATTTCCAGATGAGCCCACCAGAAATCCCTGACCTCGGACTCTAGCCCCTGCCTCTGCACACCTTCTACCACCTTCTTCTGCCCAGTCATTGCAGGCTGGCTCCCAGGGTGACACAGCATCCAGGCACTGGACCAACCTGCCTGGTCCGAGTTGTAGCTCCACACACGCTGTGTATAGTGTGAGCAGAGCCAGCTTCCTCTGCAGACAGGAAGGTTGCCCAAAAAGCAACTACCCACTAATGGGTTTCATAGCATGTGTCTGCTGTGATTTTTCCTTTAGGCTCATCTTTGTCTTTTCCCATCCCCTTGCTTGTTCTCACTTCCATAGCACACTCATGAAATGTCTAACCTTCCCTCCATCTCTGTCATGGCCATTGTGTGGGGAACTGGGCTGGCTGCAGGCAGCACAGTGGAGCCTGGACTGTCAGCTGCTCCTCTGGGACCCTCATATCCCCTCTGTAAAGTGAAACACCACACCAGCAGACACATCCCGCATCTTCACCTCCAAGAGCGACACCCTGTTGGGTTGTGTCTGATGGCCCAAGGTTCATTGACCAGAAGACCTGGGACACTGCCGGACCTCCCCTGCCCACCTGGTCCTGTGCTGGGATTCTCAGAGACTCAATAATCCAGGTTTGTGCAAAGGCGCCTCCTTTCTCCCTCACTTCCTGCAAGGGTGCAGGGCAGGCCCAGGACACAGGGAGTCTGGTGAGACATGGAGCTGCCATCGGACTTTTTAAAAGTAACAAATGTTTACCGTGCAGTTTCCATGTCAAGTCAAGGGTGTCCAGGAAGGAAGCAACCTGTAGTTCTGCGACTGAGAGGTGTTTTTGTGAAGAGGGCCACAGCACAGCCACTTGGAGGAAAGTGTGTGTGTGTGTGTGTGTGTGTGTGTGTGTGTGTGTTGTTCTGCAGGGGATGCTCCACCCCACAGAAAGGCAGCCTTCAGGATTTCCAGTGCACACCCTGTGGGTACCACCAGATTTTGCTGAGCTCTCAGACTGCCTACACCACTACTGAAGAAAAGTGAATGGCAGGGCAGCTCCAGCCTGGAGCTGAGGAGTGAATGGGAAGGCAAGTTCCAGGTACTAGCATGGGGTCCTGGGGTCTGGTCTATGGCGGGCAGGGGAGACCTGGAAGTCAGGGTTAGCGTTAGGCTGGTCACAGGGATGTAAATGCAGCATGTGTGGCTCTGCCAGGGGAGGGAGTCACGCTGGCCCGTGAGAGCGGCCTCACATGTTCCAGAGGGGCTCGCACAGCGGCAAGCTCTCGTCCTGGCAGAGGAAGAGGGCCGGAGCAGCGCTGGGGGATGATGCAGAACAGGGCTCAGTGGCAGTGCTGCTGTAGTTCTTTTGGGATTCTGGCCCGGTGTATTGTCTGAAGCATGGCTATTTGTGGGGAAAGGCTAGAAATTGCTACACATACCTGATTTTTCACCGGGGAGACAAAATTCCCTTTTTTCCGCCAGTCCACGGAGGTTGGATAGGGACCGGTACCTCGAAAGTAGTTACTTTTGGTGGCTGAGCAGTTCTGGAACAACCAAATATATTATTTTCAGGAAAAAAACCTAAAACAACTTCCCCCCCCTGCTTTTTGAACAAAAGGCGTGTAATTAAGCAGAATCATTCAGAGTGAATGAGGAAGATAATGGGCAGGTCCCAAAATCATTGCTGCAGTTCACAGGTAGAAAACATTACATGCTGCAGAGGCCAGACTGGACGATTCAGGAAAGGGCAGCTAGACTCAGCAACAAAAGTGCCATTCTCATTAGACTGGAATTTCATGTAATGTACATCTTGTACAATATTTACAGAATAGATATGCTAAAATTATGTTATCTGAAATTCATCTTTTGGCATCTATCTTTTCTGGTAACTTATGTCAGTGATTCAGATTGCCTGGGCCCAGGGCCCAGATGGTGGCTGCAGAGAGACACTCTGTTGCTTCCCTGAAGAGATAGAACACACAGCTATGGCTGAGGATAGCACTGATTTTAGCTGGAAGCAGAACAGCCCTCAAAGTTATTCCAAAGGTCTCAGTGAAAAGGTCCAGATCTGTTTGCAGTGAACTACCTGGGGCTCTGACCAAAGATATTTGCGTTTTATTTCATCAAAGCTCATGTCTGAAAATTGATTCAGTGCCACTGAAAAAGAGAAAGGGGAAAAAAGAAATAGAGACATTTAGTGAGTGAGCCTGGTGTTTACCTTTGTTCTATTATAGCCTCTGCAATGTTGCTCCTTATATTTTTAAAAGTAATTTGTTACAACACACCAAGTCAAGCCCTTCCTGCACTTCAGAAAAGATGCCTGGGGAGCTTTTCAATGTGACAGATGTTGGGGACTGAGAAATGCACCCAGAGGTGCCCAGGTACAGCTGGGAAACCCAAGGTTTCAGACCCCGTATTGCTGTGTCTGGGGAATGCCCAGGTAAAGGATTGCTATGCCTGTGCAGGTGCTTTCCCCATGCCACATGTGGATGGGTAGCGGTGTTACCTTTACTGACAGCCCATGCTCTCTGTGCCCAGGACACATACTGGGATTGGGTACAAGTGAGATTCCAATTTAAGTCTCCTTCCTGACCACTGCCCTTGGTATCAACTTAGCTGAACTGCTGCCATTGCTCAGTCCTCAGGTCCAGCCTGGCCCAGAGCTCAAGTATGGGCTGCCTCCTTGGAGGCCGTGTCTGCATGGAGTGGTCTCTTGAAACATAGCCCCAAAGCTACCCAGACACAGAGTGCACTGGACCCTCAGGTGGCAGGAAAGGGCCAGGGGCTCCACCAGAGCATCTCATCCACATATGACCACCTTAAGGGTCCCAACATTTATAAGCTTGCACTCCATGAACTTTAACAGCAGAGCCACAGTTTAACATCAGCCAAATATCTGAGTCCTGGCCCCTGTTCCACAGCCCCCTTCTCTCCAGATCTGTGCTTTCCAGATTGTGCTCCCACCCCTGCCCAAAGAGCTGAGAGGAGAGGTGTGCCTATGTACTTTTAAATGTGTGGTTTCCCTTGTTGTGGGCATTGATCTTCTTCCAGTTGCGGGCAAATGTCTGCTGCCTGTGGTGGTGCTCCTTCGCGCTGTATTGCTTTTGGTGCTAAAACAAAACACATTGACAACAGATCATAGAAACAAGATGCGGTGCTTGCAGGGAGAGTCCTTGGGGAGAGAGTCCTTGTTTTCAGGGAAGAGATAGAAGTTTTCTCAGTGCCGTGGTGCTCAGGACAAATTCGTGCCAATGGGTGAGATGCTACCCTGGGTCCCCAATATAAAATCAGGACTTTGCAAACAACTTTGTGCCTCCAGGGCCAGCTGCCCAAAAGCAAAGTCTTGTGAAGAGACCTGTCCTGTGCAGGTCCCCAGAAACCAGGTGAGGCCAAGCCACCTGCATGGAAGAGACGACAGCTTCCCAAGGTACCCGCAGTGGTGTTTCTGCAGCCATAAGGCAAGTTGCTTATGATCCAAATCAGAAAGAATTCCAAGCCTGCAGTCATTGGTCGGGACCGCTGCTTGGAATGAAGTTTTGTTTAACTGTATCTTTCTTAATATTTGGCCACTGTGAAGCTGGGAAAGACCCGGGGTAGGCCACAGCTGGAAAATCCCTCTTTACTGTCTCAAATCTGTTACAGTTTTCTTGTACAATGGAAAATTTTTTGAAAAAAAAATCAAAAAGAAGAAGCTGGGCACTGACCTGCATCATCCATGACTTAAAGTGAAACTCCTCTGTAAAAAGGAAAAAAAAAAATTAGATCTAGGCGCCTTTCGGTGAAGTTGAGTCCTCAACCAAGTAGCCTAGTTTAAAGCTGATTTGCATTTTAGGAAACTAGGCTAAATTTAAAACACCAAAGATGTTGTCTAAGGCTGAGTGCAAAAAGGAACTCAAATGCTTTCTGCTTTGGTACCCCAGCTATTCTGAAAAGCTATCTTTTTTTTTTTTTTTTTAATGCCAGCACCTGAACCTAGGTCTCCAGCGTCCTAAGCAGGTTTCCATCATTAAGCTGCACCCCCAATCCAAGTAATACACTTTCTAACTACAGCATCAGAAGTCAGGATAACATTTATCCTCAATGGGAACACAAAAAGGTTTCTGGGTGCTGGGGATTTAGTTCAGTGGCTTAAACGCCTGCCTGAGAAGCATGAGGTTGTGAGTTCAATCCCCGGTACAAAAAAAAAAAAAGGATTCTGGAAATGTTCTAATTCAGCAGGGTGCTAGTTCTGTAAGTGTGCTTCCATGGTGGACATTCATTCAAGTGCATACTATTTTAAAAAAAAAATAAGTCTTCTTTGTTGTACAGAGCATCATAATCTCAACAATCGTCAGTAATTTATGAGCAAACTTGTCATTTAACAAGTTAGCTACCTGTCAAGTCCGCAAAGAGATGCTTTGGAACACAACGGAAAAGGCTAAGCAAAGGTAACAGACGCTTTGGATACAGTCAAGGGGATGGGCTAGGGCTTTGATTCCTGAACACCATTACATTTTCCTATATTCAGAGGAGTTTCACAAAATCATTTTTAAAACACAGATTAGTCCAAGGAACCTGCGTTCTAGGACATTAAACTGTACTCAAAGTTGCTAGCTTTGCAGATGAGGCAAATTGAAGAGGGAGAGCATATAGAAATGGGAAGCAGAGCAGAGGCAGAAAAGAAATAGAAAGCAAGACGCGCAGAGGGAAAAAGTTGTGCTTACATGATGTGAGGCCTGGAACTGTTAGGAATAAAAATGAAGACTCATAGCCACAAGTCTGGGAGATGGATATCAATAGAGAGAGCCTAAGATTTTACACGTTCCAGGAGGTGACAGCACATCCCACAGCTGTGCAGTGGCAGGGCGGAGGACACTAAGGTGAAGCCATCTGTTTGTAAACATCCTTTTTGTTTAATGGCTTCCAATCTACACTGCTAATTTCAGCTTAGCCGAGGCCAGGACACAGCAACTCCAGCAGGTCAGACTCTCTTCCCTGCATGTCCCAGGCATAGAGTCAGGGAACCCCAAGTCCTGCAGCCAGTCTTCCAAGAAGACAGACTTCAGTCAGGACCAGAGTGTGCAGCGGGGATGGGGCTCAGGACCTGGGTCTGTGCTCCAGGATTTATCCTAAGCAACAGGCAGTTGTGAAAACACCAGGCAGGTCTACTTCTCAAGGGAAGAAAAAACAAAAGCAGTGCCACCAGGATGATCTGGTGCTCGACACAGTATCTTGCTGTAGAGTTCGAGCTGGCTTTCAACTTTTTACACTGCGGCCCCAGCTAATTATGCCTCACAGCCCCAGCCTTCTCTTGTCCTGCCTAGGAGCTTAAATAGGTTTTTACATGGTTAACTGCATGGGGGTAGGAAGAGTAGTGATAGTCTGTAGCACCTGAAAAATCATTAAATTTTGGTATTCATAAATAATGTTTATTTGTACACACACAGCAGGGCTCACTTATTTACACACAATCTGCAGCTGCTTCTGTTGCCCTAAAAAACTAGTCAGGAGGTGAGGTAAGAGTGTGGGCCACCGAGCTGGAGATCCACTAGCTAGCTCTGAGTTCAAGCAGCTTTCTGCACTGCCCTCACCAGAGTACGACTGGACTCTCTGAGGTCCAGGGTCACAGGGCCTGCAGCGGGGAGGAATGGGACAAGAACCCGCCTCTGTAACCTTTGCCCATTCTGTCCTAGTTGACCAGTGCTTCTTGGCTTCCTCTCTGCAATCCAGGGTGCCTCTTGCCTGCAGTCTTTTAGGGCTGAGGCTGGGCCCAGTGCAGTAGAGGCCAGAAAGCAGCAGAACCAGAGGGGACAGCAAGGGAGGAGAGGTAGCCACAGGTGACCTAGCCTAGGTGCCCTGGATGTACCTCCCACACGCCCAACTGCAGGCTCTGCCTGCTGTGGCACAGGAGACTTGGTTCCCTCACAGCCCATCAACTCCTTTGACAGAGCACTGTCAAGCACTGGGGATTGCTGCCCGGGCCCACAACCCTGAATGGAAGAGGTGGCCATGGCTCTCTGGAAGGGACTACCCCAGCAGGGACTGCAGGTTTCCTGGGGCAAGACACACGGCCACCTTGAGTCCCTCGGGTGTCTTCAGTCCTGTCCCTGGTCCCCTGTCCCGTCCCTGGTCCCCCGTCCCGTTACCTAAGGAGCTCAGCTTCGACACGGAGATGGTGTGGCCCAGGGACAGCAACAGCCAGGCCCCGGCACAGAGCAGGAACAGCACAGCCTTCATCTTGGCGGTTCTGCTTCAGTGGAGACCCGCCCAGAGTAGCTGCGGCTGGGATGGCCACGGCGGGGCGGCCCCACTGATCCCTCCCTCCTCACCCGCCCTCCAGCCCCGCCCCGGACTCCAGGGCATCCCCCTAGGCCTGGAGGAAGGAGGCCCTTTCCTGCCGGCAGGCTTGGATCTTGCTTGGGAGTCGTACCAGGACCAAGTGTTAGGCAATCTGTTTACTTTGCAAACCTGCACTAAGAGGGAAGCCGAGACATAGGGTCTGACTGTGAGGTAAGCAGGACCTGATTTTAGACTCTGGCTTCAGGTTCAGGATGAGAACAGAGTTCCTGAGCCCTGTTCCCCTGCAGGGAAGCAAGCCAGGCTGTTGGGTCCTTCTCAGTGCTGCCCGGGGTCCTGCACCCTCCTGCTTCGCAGCATCCTGCAGTCTGAGCTCTCCTCTGGCTGCCTTAGAAATGATTGCAGCTTTGCAGCAGCTGGGTTCCAGCTGAATTTGAATGCTTTCGCAGGCTGGTGATGAAGGTGGCCTGAATCAGTTGATCTGGTGACCACCTGGGGTGCCCAATACCTTGTTGTGGAATGGGCCTTATGTTCCACAGTTCTGCTAACTACAGGCTCAGGATGTAAGGGAAGTGAGGCTGTGCTGCAGAGTTCAGTAGGCTCTGTGTATTCGATGCATTCTTTCTTTATTGTGTTTTGTTTTCTGAGACAGGGTCCTGCTGTGTAACCCAGCCTGGCCTTAAACTCCTAGGGATTCTCCTGCCTCAGCATCCTGAGTGCTGGAAGTACAGGTGCATGCCACCAGGCTCTGCTCGGTGCATTCTTGACTTGTAATATTTCACTTGCGAGAGGTGTGTTTGGATCTGGCCTCATTATAAGTGAAGAGAAGCTGTATTTCCAGGTACAGCAAGTCTTGGTCATGGGTCTACCTCTTTCTCGACTTTCTCCTAGATGTGACCCTTCCCTGTGCTTTGAGACAGAGATCTCACACCTGTCTGTGGTTATGCTGGGATGGTTGCTGGTCTCAGGGCGAAGCTGTCTTTCTTCCGTTCTGACTGGCAGAGGAGCTGGGAATGCTGTGTCCCTTGCTGTGTTGGCCACCTGGACACCTCTTAGCCCTCGGCCCCAGAGCAACCCTCTGTGGAGTGTGGGGCACTTCCTTCATGGGGCCTGAGTGGTGAGGTGTGGGGCAGGGCTCTGGCCTGGTCAGCTGATGTCAATGTGGGTTTCTACTCCTACCATAGATTCTTGTGCAATCAAGCAAGTGCTTTGCTGTCACTGAGCCTTAATTTTTTCATCCATATATGTCTGCTTTCCCTGATCTTCATGGTTACAGTTAAGTAAATGCCTGTGGTGGGGACCTTCATGTGACTGTGACTGACCCTGAATGCCAGCTTCCCTGGCACTCGTTTTTAAATTTTTATGTATTTTTTTATTTTTAAGACAATAAAACCAAACAAAATAAAACAGAATAAAGCCAATAAAAACAAAATAGTGAAAGCTACACAGGACTTGAAAACAAAATCATAGGAAATCAACAAAGACTACAATAATGCCTCTTGTTATTTTCAAAATAGCTGCACATGCCATCAGATATAATAAAATCAAACCAAACAAAACAGATTAAAAGCAATCAAAACAAAACAAAACAATATAAGACTTTAAAACAAGATAATGGCCACTGCCTTTCATTTTTAGATGTTTCCTCCCCTTTCACTTTCACAGTATCTATGTACATTTTGGATCTCACTAACTGCTTCAGTTTTTATTCTAAGGAGACGGCATGATGATAACCTATGTGAATAGGTTGATAACCTATGTGAATCATTTCAGCCAAGTGCATGATCTCAGGTTGCATCCATTCACCTACAAGAGCCCCATGATTATCCTTTATATCTGAGTAGCTTTCCATTGTATAAAACCGCTATATCTTTCTTATCTATTCTGTGGTTGGTGGGCAAGCTACCCCTACTTTTTTCTGGTTCTCTGTTGCAGGGGGCATTGTATTTTCTCCTTAGACTTTCAGTCTATGAATTTCCTTTTGAGTCAATGTGTTTCTTATATACTGCATATTGAAGGATCTTATTTCTTGATCCACTTTGCCTGTGTTTCTTTTTATTGGTGAATTTAGGCCATCAGTATTAATAGATACAGCCAACATACACTGGTTTGTCTCTGCCATGCTTTTTTCCTGCTGCTGGCTCCCCATTTTTGCCCTCCATTCAGCTGCTTGCCCTGCTTAGTGATCCCACTCTGCCGCTGTTCCTGGGACTGTGGTCATTTCTATCTTTTTCTACAATATCCTTCAGTATTCTTTGTAGGGTTAGTTCGGTAATCATGAATTCCTGCAGTTGTTGTCATGAAGTTATCTTATTTCTCCATTAATTTTAAATAATAATTTTGCAGGGTACATCAATCTGGGTTGGAAGTTGTTTTTTTTCCTTCTTTTTTTTTTTTTTCCTTTGGTGCCAGAGATTGAACTCACAGTCTCACGCTTGCCAGGCAGGTGTTTAGGCCGCTAAGTTAAAGCCTTCACCCAGAATTGTTTTCTTTCAGAACTACTTTATTACAAACTACATGACTTGATGGTTTGAATTGAGAAGCTTGATGTGGTTCTGATAGGATTTCCTTTATAGGTGGTCTGTTTCTTCTCTCTAACAGCTTTTAATATTCTGTTCTTGTGCTGAATTTCTGGGATCTTGATTATTATATGTTTGGGTGTAGATTATTTTGGTTATGGCTAGTTGGAGTTGTATATGCCTCACTTACTTGTATGTCAGGTCCTTTTCCCATGCTTGCAAAGTTCTCTGTTATTACTTTTGTAAATAGTCTCTATGTCATTTGTGTTGACTCCTGCTTTTTCACTGACACCTATTAGTCTTAAATTATTTTTCTTTGTGTCATCTTGCAGCCACTGCATTATTTCTTTTTCTCTTTTTTTTTTTTTTTTTTTTTTGTCTTTTTGAGACAGGGTCTTGCTCTGCAGTTCAGGCTGGCCTTGAGCTCGTTTTGTAGCCTAGGCTGGTCTCGAACTCCCAACGATCCTCCTGCCTCAGCCTCCCAAGTGCTGGGATTACAGGTGTGAGCCACCACGTGGGGCTTGAATTGTTATTTCCTGGTTCCTTCTTTTTAAAAAAATTTTTATGAAGGATTTTATTTAAAGAGAAAAAAAGCAAAACAGAAAAAAAGGTAGAATACAGAATTTCAAAAAAACAGTAAGAAATCACTCGTTAATAGATTACATATTGTTGTCTTAGAAGTTGCTGTTCAAGTTACAAATTAAAGCACACAAAGTGGGCATTTAAACAGTGAGACTGCAGACAGTTCTGTTCAATGATCCAACAAAAACTTACTAAAATGGTTCCCTGTTTTACACACTTAAACATACATGCAGTTATATCCTTTAGAGCACTTTCTATTCTTTTCTTTTTTATAATAACAATTACACATTTTAGGTTTTATTACTCCTACAGTTCTTATTACTTTCTTTGAAGAGAACAAAACCAAATGTGACAAAGCAAAGTGGAGTCAGTTAAGACAAGAATAGACATAGTATATGGTGTAAAAACAAAATACAAGGTGATCAACAATGGCTACTATAATGCCTCTTGATATCTTCAAAAGAATTGCCCATATCTTAAAGAAGGTAAGATTAAACATACCAAAGCAGAACAAAACAGATCATAAGGAAACAATTTTAAGAAGCACTGATTTCAAAGCAAGCCCACTGGAGATCTTCACTGTCTGTCTTATTGTCTCTAGTTTTCTTCCAAATGGTTGTCCCCATCTTCACACACTGTGAATACATTCTGAACATTATAGAACTAATCTGATCATAACAGAGTAACGAAGGCTTTTTAGGTCTTCAAGACCTGACATCGGGGAAGTCCATAGTTACTGCCATAATGTCCCTCATTCTCTTCGTACGGTAGCTGTCCTTATCTTTACATATGCTGAAACTGAACATAAGAGACTAGACTAATATCACTCTGAACAGTGAATAATAGTTTTGCTAGATTTCATATCATAATGTTACAGAATTAGCACTGGATTTCTTAGTGTCTCTTCTTCTTCAGAGTATCTGTCTGTTATATCATGCATTATATAATCTGTTCCTGTAAATTGTTTAGAAATTCTCCCCATGTGTGAATCTCTACATGTATATCTATCCTTTCTCTATTATAGGGAAAAACAGATCATAACAAGACAAAAAAAACAAATTCTTAGAAAAACATGAAATGAAAAAGACATATAAAACCATATTATTAGGTGATCTACAGTAGTTATTATGTTTTCTCTTATTTTCAATAGAGTTGTCCACATCATCAGACATATAATAATTGAACATAGCATTACATAGCTATTTTAATAAAAACACAACTTTGGAGACATTGTAGGACTTCAAAAGCAGTTAATAATCAAACCAGTATGGGTATGTTATTACATCTTGTTATCTTCAGAGTGGAGGCAACTCTGCCTCTACTCTTAGACTCAATATCATCAAGCATACCAAATTTGAATAAGATCAGTCAAGGCAAAACAGCAGTTTACCAAACCAGCTTCAAATAAGATCAGTGATAGTAAGACAATGTAAATAATAAGTTAATAGGAAATTAAGGATAGTTACTGTGGTATAGCTTGCTATTTTGAGGATAGCTATCTATGCCCTCAAATCTAGTATGAGTAGACTGACCTGAACAAAATAAAATCAAACTAAGCAGAGTGATAAGATTACTGTGGCTTTTAAATCCTGGTACACTATTAACAATGTCCTTTGCCTTCCTTTTTTAGGCAATTCCTCCCTTTTTCCTTTCTCAGGGTGCTTTGTAGATTTTGGGTCCCACTAACTCCTTTAGTTTTTAGATTAAGGGGGTAACCCGTTATCTACCTAAGTGGTGCTGAACCTTTTTACCCCTGAGCTTGATCTTGAGCTGTACTCCTTTACTTACTAAAGCCACAAGGCTTTCCTACCTTCCAGCTGTGTAGTTCTGCACTGCACAAAAGTGTCATAACTTTCCAGCCTATCTGCGGCTGCTGGACGAGTTGTCTCTATTTCTCTCTGGTTCCCTGTCACAGAGAGCATC